ATTATTTTATTTAAAAAATACTAAATACAATTAAATTTTCCAGGCAAATTTGCCTGGAATACAGTTTAAGGGATAATTTTTTATAAATTTTTTAGAAGAACCCACCCGAATAGTAAATATCCTTAAAAAATTTTTTTTAAAGATTTGTAAAATTGACCCGGCCGGATTATGAGAACCAAATAATTAACTTGGCCTGGCCTAATAAATAAATATACAGCAGGTTTTAAACTCATGTTTAAGCGTGGATATGTAAAGCAGATTTTGAAACCCAGTTTACATATGTGTTTCCAAACGGGTTTCAAAGCACAAACTAGCAGATTTAAGCAGGATAACATCCCTATTTTCAAAATAGCGATAATGCTTATTTTTAAAATTAAATGTTAAATAGCTAATGATTCGTAATTAATTTTAAATTGATATTATGTTACGAATTATGAATATAAAAAAGTTTTCGTTATTTGGGCTATAAAATTTCATCGGCTTTGTCGGTCGAGAAATTTTGATCAGCTAAGTTCATTACCGTACCTAATTATTGATCTCGTTAATTCCTGTTTATTAGGCTTCACATAAAGTCATTAGAATTATTCACAAACGGTGTTATTGGTATTAGTACCTATCTCAGTCTCTATGTCAGATTCAATAATGCGATATTTAATATACAGCTCTTTACATATATATTCTATCACTTTGTTTCTCACGGGTGATAACATGTTACGACGCCATTCTATACAATCACCAGTTGCATATGCATTGTGCATTCTCTCAGATAGCCATTTATAAAAACTTTTCATTTCTTTTACCACACGATCAACATCGATTTCATTTAGATTTGGCCAAAAGTTTCGGAATTTTTTCTAATGCATCTTCATGTGTATCGAGGTATTTGGTCCACTTTTTTACCCAATTTCCTTCAATACCGGTACTGTTCAAATTTAATAACTCCCATTGTTCTAGTAATTAATTGTAAATATAAAATAAAAATCAAGGTCTGTTGTGGTAGCTAAAATTGAACTTAGTTGATACTGAAATTTATCATGATACTAACCAAAAACGCCTCTAAGATGGACAGCTCCTTTCAATCTGAGATAATCCAAATTTACAAAGCCCTAATACTGTATAAATCTTAAAAATTAAAATTCTTTTTATTAATGGAAAAAATTTAAATATAACTTACTGCTTTTGTTGCGAATAAAGCAAAATCTTTATCTTGTTTCCTCAGAATATCCTTTAGATCTGCCACTTTCTGTATCAATTCATTATCTTTTTGTATCAATTTATTATCTTTCTGTATCAATTCATTATCTTTTTTCAGAACCAAGTATTGGTTTTGAATTGTAAGAAGCTCTTTGAATTTTGAAACTTTATCTTTATATACACATTCTTCTAAGTGCGCTTCTAGGTTGACAAGAGCTTGGTCAATATTTTCAGCTGCAGAAGAAAAACTTAATTTATTGGAAGTTTTATTAAAAGAAAAGACGAACTGACGAGATGTGGGCAAGTAAATCTTGCTTAGTGCAAGAGAATAGCGAGTATGGCGAAGAAAACAATACATTGAAAAATAAAATTTGCAAGAAACAGATTAACAAAATTTGTTAAACACTGATCTAAAATAACTTGATCTTGACTAATCAAATATCAAGATCAATGAATTAGTGTTGTTAACAGGAAATGGTCAAAATTCGACCTCTTATTTATAACAAAATTACAGGGAAAGAAAAGAACAAAATCGAAAGTTTCTTTTGTCATTATACTGCCATTGAACTCAAGCCATATGACCCTTTTCTGGTCTAATGTCCTACCCCTTACACACAGCCTTTACCATTGAAACATTCTATGGAAGGCAAGTCAAATGAGAGCTTCTACACCGTCATTATTGTGACATCGTTCTTTATCAGTTGACTCATTCATTGACTCGTTCATTGACTCATTCATTGACTCGTTCATTGACTCATTCATTGACTCATTCATTGACTCATTCACATTCTTTTCCACGGCCACACACTTAACCCGACAAGATAATATTACCTTGACAGATGTCAATCTAATCGGGCATGGGGCTTGGCTTTCACAAAATCAACGTTAATGCTTCGAATGGAGGGCCTGGCTTCAACAGGTTTGTCGCAGAAGATCGTCATTCAATAATTGTGGGGTCCCGGGGCATCGTGTGGATGCGATTTCGCCAATAAAAGTGTTCTTTTATCCTTATCCTACTCCGGAGTAGGTAATGTTGTTATCCGATATTTAATATTTAGGCATACCGAAATTCTAAAATCATGCCGTACTAAATATTATCGAAATGTTTATTAAGTAATGTCAAAATGTTTAACTTGTTTATTTTGTGAATTTCACATACCTTAAAATAGATTTAATTATTAATTAGCCAATGTATTATTTTTGAGTACCCACGTGCTATAAAAATTTTTAAAAGGAACTGGTATTTTTACACCTGAATGTGACGTATCAATGTGTTAATTTAGACATTTATATATAGTTGTACATATAGTCTATGTTCATTATTAAGCAAAGATAATGTAAATTAACAATCGTGACATGGATAGATTTTATTTTAGACTTGAATACTAGGTAGATTAAATTATGGTTTTTTTAATTGTGGTTGCGATCTTTGAATTATGTTAGTTTTGGTAATTCTATTTGGGTTTTAATGGTTATGGATTCTGTTCTACGTAGAGTATAGATTCGGTGAATATTTATTCTATCATCGATCAAAATTTTGAGCATCGGGATAAATTTTTATTTAATTCGATCGATTATTGAGTATTGGGCAGTTAATTTTTACCTATTTTTATGTGTTTTTGGTAGTGATAAAATTTTTTAAATAAGTTTTTTATAAATAATGATGCATTAGTGTGACTTTTTAGATTACTCTAAACTTACAACGTAGTTATGATAGATGGTTAATGTGAAGCAAATCATTTGACTCTAAGTATATTTATAAGAAGAGAAGGGCTTTAATATAAGAGAAATGAAAATTAACAGTAAAAGGAGGTGGGTTTTAAGTGGGATGATGGGTTTGAGGTGATAATTAGATTAGTTGTATTGTTTTGGGGGTTTAGTTTAATAAATGTGTTATATGGTTGACTTTTATATTATGCAATAATTAAATAGTAATTCGAGGTTTTTAATTTTTGCCTAACCGCAAAAATGCACTTGAATGTTAATAAATTTTTTAAGTTGATATAAGTAAAACATGGTATTTGATTTAATATTGAATAAAGATAGACACTGTATTTTTTATAAATTTTTATTGATAGTCGAAGATCTGAAGTTTATTATGAAGTGAGGTTTAAACTGTATTTTTAATTCTGTTTATGATGTTAATTCTTTAAACTTAGGCTATCATTATTATAGATTTGATAATTATGTTTTTAATACATAAGGGTTGGTTTTTATTTATTTAAGTATTCTCATTCTTACGGCTTAAAATCAGTATCAACAACGGTTACAGGAACAAGAATATGCGATAAGTTTTTATAATAATAAAGAAAGGATAATTTAATTGCAATTAGTAATTAGCAACTTGGCAAATAATTTTTATATAAATTTTTTTTTTTTTTAATATGAATATGACATATGATCAGTAAATACAATAAGAATGAAGCTTGTTAATATTAAAGAAATCTGTTATATAATATTCATATAAAAAGTTTAAGAGATAAATGTGAGAGTTTGTTCTAGAAATTTTTTTAAGTCTTTGATATTCTAGGATAACACTTTGGTTGGTCATAAATACCGATCTATCTAGGTGAGATATTTCAATACTATTTATCATGTGGTTAGACACGTAACCATGGTCACTGTTATCTTGCTCAAATGGTATTTCAAGTTTAAGTCTTGCTTAGCTTTCACACACCTTCTCACCAACACTTTACAGGCGAGTATAACACACACTTTATTTCATTAATATCATTTTTCGTTTCTTTTCAGTCAAGTGACTAAGTTTCATTTTTTATTTATTTTTTTTATTTATATTAATTTCTATTATGCTACTTTGTACAACTCTGATTATTAATATACTATGACTCACTATGTACCTTATACTTTACATTGCATTACAATAAACTCTTAAATTTTACTAACTTAATCATCATTGACTCATAATTGACGATCACGGTATCTCACATACCCGATCTTCATAATGCCGCCCAACATTTCCACATCGATCATAATTTTGGTCAATCCCTTTGTCACGTGATATGTTTGTTGCATCTTTTGCTCTACTAATTCAATTTTTATTAACCATTTTATTACAAGCTTCGTTATCAATCAACATTCCTCGTACTAAGTACAAGAGTTCACCAAAAACTATGCGACACTATTCCAATTAGAACACTTGTTAAGAGCTATGTAAGCTTGATCAGAAGAGAAAATGTTTTCATCTAGTGCGAAAGAAACCCTTAACAATATTAGGGCTTAAGTTTTATAAACAGTGAGAGTGAAGCAATTTTGTAATGAAAACTAGATGCAGTGATAATTTTTTCATTGATTTCAAAGTAGTGCATTTCTTTATAAATATCTATATCGATTATAGAGCCTTTGACAGAAAATACAATTTTTGCAAATTGATCAACAAGATTTATATTAGTGATTACATTTACAGTGCTGTTACATATTCTTTATTTAATTAAAGAATTGTTAAAATACATGATATATGTACCTGGTTGTAAACGAGTATATAAGGTAGATTTGTATTAGATTTGAATTTTTGATTTGAAATTAAAAAGTCTTATTTTGAAGAGTTTATAAAATTAGTGGCTTGTGATATTAGAAATTTATCTTTAAAGGTGGAAAGTAAATCACAGACTATTTTGTTGATTCGTTTGGCATTTTCTTTAAACCCAACAATATGAGTAGTATTAAGCATGATATCAATTATAGGTTTTATTAAAATTGTGAATGTTTTTGTTATAGCATTTGCCAAATATTGTTAGAAATGTTATCAGTTTGCACTTCTTTTAGTAGGATATAAAATTGAGAATCATTGTTTTAACATTGAGGTTCTCAAAAATAATATATAAAATAATGTACAAACAGTTACACAAAAAATATATTGGCTGGTATAGAGTTTGAAACTTGATTCAGCCTTCGGATTTAAATCTGAATTTTTTCAGATTCGAATCAAATCTAAATATAAAACTGAATTCACTAAATCTGCACAATCTGAAACATAAACATAAAGAAGACAAAAGCATTTGGATAATCAAAAACTTTTTCACTAGGCATATAATCAATTAAATAGGTATATCTATATATATATTTATACAATGATGATAATACTAATTAAATCTGAAGCTGGTTTTTATTTTAATTTAGCCAATTCAATAAAATATTTTTAAATATACAGAATAAAACCAGATATCAACTTAACAATTTAGATTTAAATCTGAAGCTAGAGATCACTAATTAAATAAATTTGAATTTAAAAAATAAATTTGGTTCCAAACTCTAGGTTGGTAATAGAAAAAAGTTAAACAAGATTATCAATTACTATGATATTTATACTACTGAAAGCAATAGAGTTTTTTGAAGATTTGCAAATAAATTAGAAACAAAATTTAGTAGTTCTGTAAAAACTATGAAGATTTCATTAATAACAATAGTATTAACTTTTTATTTTTATTTTATTTTTTTTTATATTCAGCAGTTCTGCCTCATGCTTTATTGAAAGTATTAGAAGATCAATATTAACAGGAAATATAATTTTCTATACTATAATCCTATTGCACAAAGAGACTCACTCAGTACTAAGGCCTAGATGTAACTTGCCTAGCAATATTATGCTTCACATTGGATTCTCAACTATTTGAAGATTTGATCCCAATAATCATTAGCTAGAGCAGCTGCACGCTTCACTAAGAAGCCCAAAAAAGAAAAACAGATAGACAAATAAAACACAAAAATATAGGAAATAATGATAAAAGATACAAGCAAGAAAATAAAGAAGAAAGGAAATATCAAAACAAAAATAAAAAGAATGACTATCCTAATATCACGTTTATAGACCTGTAAAAGGCCTTAAAAATTATATACTATACTAAATCAATTATATCCCTACTTTAAATTTATCTATTTAGTATATCTAAGTTTAAAACATCATCGGATAAACACTTCTTTGACCAGATTAGATAGTGAGGTCGGTACTCGAATCAGATTTGTCTCAGAGCATTGTTTGATCAGCTTTTACATTTGAGGCACATGCCTTGATATGTTTGTTGTCTCGTTATACTAATTTAAGAAATAAATAATGCTGACTGTTTTGGTGCATGTGATGTCAATCTTTTGAAAAGGTAAACTAAATCGTCCACTTTTTACAAAAATTTCCTCGAAAAAAAGTAGTAGATCAATGATAGTATGTGAGGTTCTTCTTGTAAGTTTTACAGTTATATAGTCCAGCTTCTCTATTTCTACTACTTAGGAATGCACATTGGCTACTTCTACAGACTTGTTTCTAGAATAAACCTTTTAGTTTGGATGCTAAATACTTTGGGAAGTCCATCAGAAAGAAAACTTAATCCCAAAGAAAACTGTCTGTAT